CTATATCATTCTTGATGAAAACAAAACTCGAAGTGAATTATGTTGGATGATGGCACTATTGTTTTAGAGCTGCTTTACAGCTGAATCACTTGCAGCATCAACACTGGTACTGAACTGAACTGAATCAACATTGAACACATATAGTAGACCTTATGTAGCACGTTTTCTGTATTCCGTTTGTATTTCTACATCGTGAAGTGAACTTAAGGTCGTACAAATTTATGAATTAATACTTCTACTTACATTTGTTATGACATCCGCCTCGAACATTACAATGCTCATGATAACTTTTGTCTAACTCTATAATATGTAAATCTACTTCACCAGCTAATTACTCTTCAACAGCGATGCTATAGAGCTACTGCAAAAAGGAAGTTCAAAGACAGAATTCTAAAGATGGCAGAGCTCTTGTTTCTCTGGTGCATAAGGTCTATAGCTGATCGATTAACTTCACACAGTTATTGACGGGTTAAATTGGGCCGGGCCCGGCACTTGGCTTAGGCTGGTAACACATTAGTGAACATTCATTATATATTTTCAACAATATTCAGCTTGACGGTTTTCTGTAAGCATGCACCCAAAACACGCACACATAAAACAGCTTCTCAGACAGCGTGCGAGTACAGAATTTAGATCTTTTTCATGGCTTTGATGACTTAATTCAAATTCTGTAGTATTTCCCTAACTAAATATTACCGTTAGACCTACCTGAAACTTAAATCACTGATTTTATTGTCATCAGATGTAGCTTTGCACACTGCTAGCATCTAGAATGATTTTGATCAGCATTTTAGCTCTCTTAACTTGCTATTTTTTACAGTTTGTTATTTGATATAAGATTTTGTGGGCTTTGCATACCCATGTGCACCCCCAACCCCCACATAACAAATCCCAATTTAAGCCCTGGTTATTGATCTGAAGTGACCTCAGCTAAATAATGACACTACTGCTGTCTTTTAGAGCTGCTTTACTGCAGAATCTCCAGAGTCTCCATTGCGGAGTTTCCATAATTGCTTCTGCTATTTCCTATTTATCATTGTGAAGCTGCTTTGACACAATCTGTATTGTAGAAATAAAGTGACTTGACTTCATTTGAGGGAAATTGTTTTAAATGCACCTGATTTGCTGCTGCTAGATTTAGCACATTTAGCCACTTCTCTTCCACTACACAGTGGAAGCTAAGACCTTTAGTTTATACAGTAAACAATCTAATAAATAAATAAATAACAAAAAAAGTCCTCCTACAGTCCTTCTATTTCTGCCATATCATTATATTTAATGATTGTCAGAAGTAACTTATTCTCGTCTCAATTTGTCTTTAAACTTTTTCTGTTAAAATATGTTAAACTATCTGTCGCTCTACATTTATGCTCGACAAACGACTTTTACCCCCCTATGGAACACAGAAGTAGTTATCAAAGTCAATGCATGCTGATGATCATTGGATCTCAAGTTCAGCTTCAATTTTTTTATGACCTGCACCTAGGACAGATGCCTCTACAAAACATGATCATGCACATAAGCAGGATGTGACTTTAACACCATTCAGACATAAAAAAAAAATCCAGCTGGCACGGTTGTTAGGATATCCACACAAATGGAAATAATGCAGAGAGACAAATACATAAAACAGCTTATTGACAGGACTATGAGCAGTCATGGACTATGGACTATGATTCAGTCACAAATTCTATTATTACTTTGCATAATTATCCAACATAACCTAACTGGCATAACCTGTTAACTGCCACCTGTCCCTCAGGAATCCTTCCCAAGAATATTCCAAGTCTAGTCAAGTAGAAGAGCTGCCTCGGAATAACACATTCGCCTCATTAGCTCCTTCACACCCTCACAAGCTTCCTGGGAACAGCTTTTCTTGTTCTCAGAGCCTGGTAACACAAAAACACTCAGTGAAGGATGATTTCCCTACAGTTTTCACGCTATATAAATAATAATAAAAAAAACCATGGTTGACAGCAGGTGGCAGCTTCTAAGTATATTTTGAGTTAATATTTCAAAACCTTTCACCGTTATGACTGTGAATGCATAAACTGACAAGAGAAAAGGGAGACAGAAGTATTTTCAGACACACCTTAAAGTCAACATCAAATTGAATCCCATTACTTTACCTCAAGTTATTGTTCTTTGATTTAACTATTTAGTGATGCATGTTAGTGCAAAAAAAAAAATGCTGTCTTCATGATCCTTCATCAAAACTCCTCTGAAAAATGCTGATGTTACTTAAGCCACGTGGTTATGGTAATGTTAACCAAGAGTCAAATAGCTATAGCTGAATTCAAGCCACGTCATACAGCACCGTAACTAGATGACAACCAGTTCATGTCCCCAGACTCAGAATGATGCATTTTAATGGCAACACATTACATTATCAATAGTCAATTATTGGAATTGATATTACAAAATACCTGCTTAACTATATTTTACTTCTGAAGCCACTGCCATTTTGAATGTTTCCAAATTATGTTGCAGTGGTGGTAAAACAAAGTCAGAGCGCTCGTAGAATTAAAAAGTTGTAAGTTTTAGGAGGAAGAGAACAGTTTTTGCAACTTGGATTCTCATAAATGTAGTTATTTTGAAATGACGTGAACACCTTATGTAACTTTTGAGATAGACTAATGAAGCAGAGCGGGATTTACAAGCCTGCTTCGACTGCTCTGATTGGAGTGTTTTTGAGGCTGCAGCCACTGATCTGGATGAGCTCACGGAGCTCTCGTGTCATCCTACATCAGTTTCTGTGAGGACATGTGTGTTCCAACCAGGACTTATTTAGCATTTAACAACGACAAAGCTTTGCCAGGCCAAAGAGGATGCCTACAGGAGTGGGGACAAAGCCTTATACAAACAGGCAAAATACACACTGAATAGGGAGGTAAGAGTAGCTAAGAGAAGCTACTCTGAAAAGCTGAAAAGAAAAAACTGTTTTCAAGCAACAACCCTACATTAGTGTGGAAGGGCCTGAAAGACCAAAAATCACGGGACTAAATTACTTCACACCTGTTGCTTTAACGTCTGTGATCATGAAGTCATTTAAGAGACTGGTGTTGGCCTACTTGAAGGACATTACTGGACCCTTGCTGGACCCCCTTGCTTACAGAGCAAACAGGTCTGTGGATGATGCAGTCAACATACTGCACTACATCTTGGCAAATAAAGCTAATTTTGATTCTTTTGACAACTTTTCACTGTCCAATAAATTCTCAATGCATAAAATCAAACCTGCACTACATTTATTCCTGTTTTATGAAATACACCATATTAAACCCAGGATTAATTCAATAAAGTGCTGCAAGTGATGACATATTTTTGTAGACCAACCTCGAAGTTTGCATCACCCTGGTTCCCTCGACAATAAAGTTTGTGATCAACAAAAGTGTATCATTCTTACACATTTTGTTCATCGTGATAATATTCACAAATAAAAACAACTTTTATGAATTTTGAAGACCCAATACAATTGGCAAATGTAAAAAGCTAAAGTTAGAATATAGATTAACTACACCATGATCACATGACTTGGTCACCACCGTTAAGCTTCCAACAACTCTTTCAGTCTTTATTTAAAGAATGCAGACTGAAAGGCAAGCAAAATCTTTTATATACAGTGTATATATATATATATATATATATATATATATATATATGTTTTGTGATCAAAGCTCTGTAGTTTTAATTGTGGGGGAAAAACATATAATGCAATGTAATTCGATGATGATTGAGAGATGAACAAATAAACATTTATCAAAAGCTTTATGTCTCATATTTGATATTCGCATTGATATCCTGTATGTATAATCAAGTAAACCTAAGTGGCTTCAGTCCAGTAAATGTTCATCTTGAAATATTACTAACACAGGGTTCCCACACCTTGGTTAAGTTAAAATTCAAGGACCTTTCAAGGATTTTCCAGGTCCAATACCCTCAAATTCAAGGACTTAATGTGGGGACATATTTCAAGTGAGATCAAGGTTATACCGTTACATTGTTATCGTTTTCATGTGTCAAACACAACTACGCAAAAAAAAACTTTTATTTTATTTTTTTTGCATTTATTTTTGGCCATATGACAGAGATCTGATATTCTATTTGTCATATTTCCGTTTTGCATAAAACTGAAGAATATTCGATACATCCTAGTCAACATTAATTTCACGGTGTGTCTGAGAAACGTTAAGGTACCATTGTAGTAGTTTCGTGTGCGCGTGAACATCATGGCAACGTACCATGAACTATGGCAAGCCAAAAATGTCAAATACGCCGTCCTGATAGCAGACGCCATAAAAAAACGTGCGTAAACTGTAAAAAATGCCGTATTTAATGGCATAAATTTAATTCTGATTCTTTTGGCTTGCCATCTACAACACAAAGTATCTCACGCGGGAAACACTTAACGTAACACGTAAAATGCCCGTAGCTAACATAAATCAAGCAAGCTAGTATGCATAGGCCACGAAGTGTTGGCGAAATAACACATTAGCAGACCAGAGGGAATAATATGGAATTTTTTCCAGAAAACTTCTTACACAAAATAAATTCAAGCACTTTCAGGGACCTGCATCTGTGTACGTTCATTTTCAAAAACTTTCCAGAGCCTCGAAAAAATTATTTCAGATTCACAAACTTTCAAGGATTTCAAGGACCCGTGGGAACCCTGCAAAGAGGACGGCTTGGTCGGCTGGTGTTTGGCAGGTAAGAAATCTGGGGGAAAAATATGCAAACAAACTACACCTGTATTACGGATGTATTTTATGTCGTAGAATAAAACATGAAACCTTATTTTTATGCATTTAACTAAAAACCCAAAAACATTGACTTCAGGATGATGGAACTGGAAGTGCTAAAATGCTAACTTGTTTCTCAGTTTTAGCCAACAAAATCATCCCTGCAGCACTCCATTCATTTTGACTTCAGATAGGCATGCAAGCTGTGATATGAAAACACTCAGAAAAGCCTAAAATGAAAGAAATGACAGATGTTCAGGGAGATAGGAGACATTGCTTTTAATTTAAAAATAAAGTTTTTAGCCTTAAATTAACAATGGATCTATATTCCAAGTCAAAGGAGTGTAATGCCTACTGCACAAAACAACTGAAGACAAGGATCTGTAATGCAACACAACTAAAGGAATCTCCACAAAACATTTATTTTTTATTTTTTTTATAATGTAGGTGATTCAAATGAGGCATCTCTTTGGCACTCTCTAAATGGAGTGCTTCGAGAAGTTGCCTTCCCTGCCTTAAGTACTATGAAACTCAGAACTGAAGAGGTAAAAATAAATGTGGATAAATGCACCAGTTCGACTGGTGACTGGTCACAAGTCACTCTTACCTGTGTTGGCATAGTAACTAAGCAACTAAGAGTAGAAAAAGTAGAGAAAATCTGGCTTGAACACATATAAATACATTTTTTTACAAACAAAGTTAATCCAGAACTAATATGCAATAAGGAAACTAGCATTCCTTTCACTTCAACAAAAATATAAATTAAATAAAACAAAATCCAAAGCTGCTGTATCCACCTAAATGTGAGAGTATAAAGCTAGTTTTCTATAATGTCCCATGTTTACAGTAGATCACACATGAGAGCTGCTCGTACTAATAAAGACTAGATTCATCCATGAGATTCAGATATTGCCAAGCACTTTAAGACCTATAAAAAAAAAAAAGGTCAGTGGGACGGCGCATCCACACTGACTAAAGATTTGTCTGACCGTCTAAAGGTCTGTTTGTGTGCAGTCAGCCGGTGGGTCTGCAGGGAGGTGATTAAAAACAGTTGAAACATTACCACCACCTGACTGAAGATAGTAGGAGTCCATTAGCCATCCAACGCCCCCGTTGAGCCTGAGCCGGTCGTGTGCAGTCCAAACAAACAAACACTCTTACACAAGACATTCCTAGCATTTAATCTCTGGGACTCTCATCTGTGCTGGCCAAAGACCGTTCACAGTAAGATCACTTCAATGAGAATTCATACTAAGCCTGAAGGTCTAAAACTTGATCTTGGTGTTTTTAAAAACAAAAGGCTCAGTGGTGGACATGTATTTGCAGTTGTCTGATCATGTGATGACATGTTTGTCGACTTTAAACACAGAGATGTCTGGTCCAGCCTGTTTTTCTGTTTAAGTTGTTGGCGGAGCTGGCGAATTGATCTGTTTGTTGAAGACATTGTCTGTGTGGAGTAAGTTACTCCATGATGGCTCTGTATATGTCTGGTTCGATGTAATCCTCTCTGTAGCGGGAATTGATCACCCGCTGTCTTTTCGAGTCTTGCTTCACCTCCTTCTCCACAAACACTCCTTTGAAGCGCATGTCCGATGCCACAGACTAGAGATAGAAATAAAATGTATTTAAAGTCTGCTTAAACCACTGATTTTTCAGTTGCACTGTGTCATTACAAGTTAAGATTACTGTAGTAATAGTAGTATTTTATAAAAAAAATATGCCATGTCAGAATTTAAGGCTATCTTCATGGCATAAACGGAGTTGGAATAATACAAGAGTTACATACAAAATAAAAACCAAGCATACTCAAAAATACAGCAGTTAAAATTATACAAGATTTTTTAAATGAACATGATAAAAATTCTAAAATCTTTTCTGGTAAAATCTTGTTATGTAGTGGTAAGAGAGATCAAGGAAAAGTAGTTTTATGAGTTTCTCAATGGTGTACTGCACATTATCACTTAAGTAGCAGTGCTGGCAGGAAATTACACACCAGGCGGGCTTTAATGCGTTTGGGCAGCTCCTCGTCCAAACTGTACACGTCTTCCCTCTTTACAGTAAGCTGAGAGTCATCTTCAAACTCCACCTGGAAAATAATTAAAAGAGCTGCGAATGAAGCCATTATAAAATGGTATGTAAATTGCTTTGCAGCGGTAAATGCAACGGTAAAAATGGTAAAAAGATAAAAAATAAAAAAAGGTCTACAGTTACTCTGCCTTCAGGTAAACTCAGAATGATTGTAGTTTAGAATGTGACTGTACAACTAATTTGTATGCATTCTGTGTAATGTTGATGAAGGACAGCTATAATGTTTGCCAGAAAATACTTCTCATTTAGTTGGGTAATGAAGCAACAGTGTCATTCTATGTGTGGCACAATGTTAAAATATTCAGAGATATAAATAAATTACAAACCTAATGCACATCCTTTGCTCTTTGGTTTCCGGTATTATCACTATCCCTGTCTTAGTCAAGAAGTGGGGGGAAAAAACGAAGGAAAAAAAAAACTAAACCTGTTGGGCAGTTTTGCCGGACTAAAATCACTTAAAGGTCCCATGGCATGAAAATTTCACTTTATGAGGTTTTTTAACATTAATATGAGTTCCCCTAGCCTGCCTATGGTCCCCCAGTGTCTAGAAATGGCGATAGGTGTAAACCGAGCCCTGGGTATCCTGCTTTGCCTTTGAGAAAATGAAAGCTCAGATGGCCCAATCTGGAATCTTCCCTTTATGTCGTCATACGGGGAAAGGTTACCTCCCCTTTCTCTGCTTTGCCCGCCCAGAGAATTTGGCCCACCCATGAGAAAATTAGCTACTACCGTGCGAGGCGAGCGCAATATTTTTTTTTCCTCGAGAGACATCATGGCTTGCAAACGAGCGAAGCATGGCAGTTGCCCCGCCTCTCTCCTCCTCATTAGCATTTAAAGCTACAGACACAGAAATGGCACGTCCTAAGGAAAGCTCATTGTGGGACTGGCTCGTAGTGGCTGAAATTCTGCACCAAGGCTGAATTTCGGGAAAGAGACTTCAGATACAGTACTAGGGACCACTTAGGCCTATATAAAAGCATCCAAAAAGCAGCATGTCATGGGACCTTTAAAATATGTTGCATCATAAATTTGACTTCCACATTGTTAACCTGGAACTGGCCTCAGGCTTATGAACCATAGTATTTGGAGGAAGAATTGTTTATTCTGATTATACACAACTGGTCAAAAGTTTGGGGTCTGTAATTTTTGTAATGTTTCAAAAGAATAATGCATTTATTTATTTAAAATAGGATTCTTTGATGAACATAAAAAGCATGCATTTATTTGAAATAGCAATCTTTTGAAACATGAAAAATAAATAAATAATGCCTCCTTGCTCAAAAAAGTACAAATTTCTTTCAAAAGAAATCTTACTGACAAATTTTTGAACAGCAGAGTATTATAATAATAATAATAATAATAATAATAATATTTTGACAGTTGGTGTCTTTTATTATGTTGCTGCTTTATAAAAGTAATAATCCAGTAGAGTCTGTGGATTACAGTGATTTAACCATGAGTAAGGACTGTACCCATGGTACCTGATTTAACCATGGACCTACTGCTGAAATGTAAGCCTATTGTGTGACCTCTCACAACTTATTGCTTAAACCTTAAAGATCGAAACAGCCACCAGTGGCTAAAAATTACTATTGTTCTTACATTTTTGAACCACTAATCCAATCTGAATGCTTTAAAAAGTCTAGTAAAGAGGAGATAATCGCATTTGTCACATTTGGACATTCAGAGGCTCTGTAGTGAACGTGGTTACGTCATCACATTTTGATCAGTTGATGCTTAGTCCCACCCCCGTACCCAGATTAGTTCAGATGGTCATCTGCTCAATTACTAAACATAGGTTTTGGTCTTTTGAACCACCAATCAGCATGTTTCTTTGGAAATTTCGCAAAGTGAGATTTAGTGCGTCGTGCATGCATGAAAACAAACACAAAATAACACATTTGCATGAGATCACTCTTTGACAAAGCACAGAAAAACATGACAGAGCACTTTGACATAACACAAACCAAAAACAAGGATGAAACAGCGGTACATATCAGATAAAGTGCTGGAATTTATGTTTTAGAATCGATTCTGACACAGAGTACAGCCAATGGACTGATCCACTTGGTTGTTATATTATGTAAATATTTTATGTTATGTAAATATTTAAATATTTTATATCTTATATAGTTTGTAAAGATCATTTGCACTATTTATTCAGTTGCATTCGGTATATTTCTCATTTTGTGTGTAGTTTGTGAAAATTATTTGCACTTTGTATTTTTGTTGCACAACACCATTTGCACAATTGTATTCACTACTTGCTACACGGTTTGCTTTTGTTGTTCATGTTCAAATTCAAAATTGATTTCTCTGAGAAAAAAAGTCACTTTTGCTTCCGTATTTTGTTATTATATAACAACCTTACTATTTACTTTACTCCCTAAACTTTTTTGGACACATCTATATTGCGCCCTTGAGCAAGGCACCGAACCCCCAACTGCCCCCCGGGCGCCGCAGCATAAATGGCTGCCCACTGCTCTGGGTGTGTGTTCACGGTGTGTGTGTGTTCACTGCTGTGTGTGTGCACTTAGGATGGGTTAAATGCAGAGCACTAATTCCTAGTATGGGTAACCATACTTGGCCACATGTCACGTCAAAAAAAAAATAAAAATTTTTATATTGTCAGTGAACTAAATATACATGTTTTTCACTGAAAAGCACATATAATAATATTGTAATAAATTGCTAAAGTTTTATTTGGAAGTATAAAACATACAAAAACAACTTTCTAAAGAGAAAAATTCTAACTTCAAGAGTTTCTATTTGAATACACAGTAAAAAACACCCAATTGTTGCTTGCGTTTTTCTTAAAGTTCTGGCAAATTCATACATTCTTAAGAGAAAACAAATAGAAAATTGGGACTTTAAATGAGCTAGACTAAAACTTCAAGTTCTCCTGTTTATAAAGATATATGGCACTTGATGCTGACTGCTAGAATAGGTTTGAAAACAGAAAGAAAAGTACAGGCATGTCAGGTGCCCCAAACATATTCTAGCTGTTTAGGCTAATGTCATGAAAAAAAGACAAAAACAGCCTCCACTGAAATCAGGAGGGGAAAAAAATGACAGCCATGACTGTACTTTGTTTTTATGTGAATATGTATGGTATTATATGTTATAATAAGTATACAGTATACAGTATACAGTACAGATTAGTCGTCTGTCTTCTATGCTAAATTATAACAATTCTCAGACTGCAAACAGTGATCCTACTGTGACGCATCTACTTTGCAGTGTCTGAAGTTGAACTCTAACCCAAATAGTGTACGCAAGTGTGTTTGTTGTCCTCTGACCTGGTACATTGGGATGATATGGTCAGACACAAATTTGGCTCCATAGATCAGGCCATCTGTCCAGCGTACTTGAACTACGTCTCCCTCCGATGGCGGGCCGAGCTGCCTGCAGTCTCTATTCTGAAAAATAAACACCAGCAGGGCTTCAGTACACTGTTTTTAATCATCAAACATTGTTTTGAGCTGTGTAACCACTCACGTACCACTATATCCTCAGGAAACAGGTTGTCACTGAATGAGCCATCATCAAAGATAACCTCATAAAAGGTGGCCTTTGTCAGCTCAACCACCTCACAATGGTAGTATCGGCTATTTCTGTGCTTGCAGATTACTTTCTGTCCCTTCTCCAACTCCCGCATAGATGCTCTATTGCGCTGCAGAAGATAAATTCAGAGACCAGACATCTCAGACAACACACATCTTTTGCAGTTACATATTTTATTCACCAACCTGCACAACAAGGTGTTGATGGAAACAGACTGATTGTAAATATTACTGATTAACCTGATTACAACCTAATAAATCACCCAGACAGGCCAGTTACAGTAAAAAATCTTCTTTTTTTTTTTGGCTCTACTACTTGTGTCAGGTTTTTCAGAAATGCACACCTTGTATTTCTGTTTGTTTCATATGGTTTTGAAAAAACTTTCAATAAAAGTTTTTAATGACAATAATTTAATGACTAAAAAATGTCATGTGGTGTAACCATCAAGTAATACAATTTCCTTACACACTTAATGCAAGTCAGTGTAAACAAAAACATTTTGAAATATATTTTTTCACAATTAATAATTCATAAATATCATTACATTTTTGAGGAGTGGCAGAGTCACTTTACAACCTGAACTAACCTTGTCCTGTCATAAAAAGGTCAAATTATCTGATGTTTTATAAGACTTAATGACCTGGACACACAAGCTGTGTCCCAATTCATTGGCTGCATTTGATGACCAAATTTGTCACAGTGGGGTGCTGAAATCTGTCTGATTCCAAAGCCTCCTTCAAATGCAGCCTCAAAATGTGGCCTTCATTTCCCAAGCCATTAAGGATAATACAATAAATGGACCCTTCACGGCCCAAACTATCCCAAGATTCATTGCACGCCAGTGACAACAGGACTCTATACTGGATTACACTTTTAAATTCAAGTATTGGGTTTCAACTTACTTGAATATCTACACAAATGTTACAAAAAAATCTTTAAACTAACTTCTATCAGATGTGATTCAATAAATAGTTTATACTTTTTGTTATGTACATAAATGAACCAAGTTGTTTTGTTTTCAGACAGTTGAATATATCTTTTAAAAGAAGTCCAGTACCAATGTTACTAGTGCTAGACAAAGAGTAATCCTCCGTAAGCTAGACCTTCCCTTTTAAAAATGCTTGGTTCGAACTTCACGGCCTTCGATGGTGTGGTCTTTGAAGTCCATGTTCTTTGAGGGATGCAGTCCCTGAATTGGGACACAGCTACAGTCTGCGGGTCGGCAGTAAATGATAGCATTTCCTCATTTTATTTTTTTGACTGAGGCCAAATTTGCACCAAAATAATATAAAGTGTGACTGGACATTGGACCTTTGATGTCAGCAAGACAATGGGAAGCATTTTCTTTTCCTATTTTCCTAATTTATTTAGTGTGTAATGTAGCTGTATGTGAATGTAAATGATCTGCAAAGTTGTAAAGCTGAAAGTGCACGGTAAATAAAGTTATTGTTTCCCAAAAGAAAGAATCAACACTGAACAGAGTCGTCAGTATTTCGAATCCTACTTCTGTGATGGCTACAGATCATGGGGTAACACATTTGCATAATGCCCGCCTATGTTCCAAGTTTGCCCGGCCGCGAAACAATTTGACCCGCCCTCAAACACTGTAGCTTGTTCGTGTGGCTAACATCATGTCTAGAAGACGCTGTGTTCTATGCTGTGAAAGTAAACCTATTGTAGGAGACTCCCAAAACAATTAGGAACCTTAAAAATGGCATAATAGGGCCACTTTAAAAGTTGATTAATTTTGGTGCACAAATTATGTGCTATTACATGGTTAGTTGCATTTTATTATTTGCCTTTAGCACTGCTTTGCCCATGTTAGAACCACCAGTGGCTGTACACCAGCAAACGAAGAAGAATCTGTCCTCTTATCATGCCCTTATTGTGTCATTCAAAGCAGTTGAAGGCAAAAACAGAGATCGGACTTCTATGTGTATTTCAATTGTTCATGTGTCAAAACTAGACTTCACTATCATCCTACACACATCTGTGTTGTGTCTATACCTCTACATGGATGCCACCCTTATGTCTCCAGCAGGTAAAGTAAACAACGAATGGCCAATCATCCGGGTGCATTTGAACTCCAGCTGCCTGCGCACAGGTCGGGTGGAAGGAAGTGGAGCAGCGGCCGTGTGAGCATTGCACGCAGCAACCCGTGCTCTTCTTCACCCACTTACGACAGAACTGGCATTTCTAAAAAAAAATAAAAACATTTTTAGTTATGTCTTTGACAGTAGAAACAGAATTAGGGTTAGGCAAAGTGAACAATTAACAAATTTTTATGAATTCAGAAGTAATTTGTTAGACTATTTTTAATGATTCATTAAAGGTTTAATGAAGAGATTAGATTACCAAAATCCCCTTTTATTACACTGATGTTACACAACAGATGTGTTATACAAACAGTGCTGGTGACTAATTAACTAGGAGAAGAGATGCTGCCAACCTACTGCTACCTATTGTTTTCAGTAATTTGAGAATATCGCTGTTCTCAGAATTGCAAAGCTTTCACAATAACAAGGTAAGTTTTCCAATGAGTAACATGACAAATTACTGCATTGCCATATTTTGCCTCATTTCATATAGTATTTGCATGCTCATACACATACATCATTCAAAAGTTTGGGGATATTAAGATTATTAAATTTTTCAGAAAGAAATATTACATGCGCACCACATCACTTAACTCATTTGCTCAAAAATACAGTACTGTTCAAGAAACATTTATTATTATCAATGCTGAAAAAAGTAGCGCTGCCAAATATTTTTTTCTTGAAACCATGATACTTTTTTCCCCCCTCCAGGATTCTTTGATGAATAGAGAGTTCAAAAGAATAGCCTTTATTCTAAATAGAATTTTTCTGGTAACATTAAAAATGTCATTATAAATGATAAATGTCTATTATCCTTGCTGAATAAAAGTATTAATTTCTTTAAAAAAAAAAAAAAAAAACTTTTGCAAGAGGTAATAAACAAACACTCCTAAAATGTATTTTTATGCATTATGTATGTTGATTCATTTTAGTGAAATAATTAAGTGAAAGTCTCTATTTGTTCTTTTATGTCTGTACTTTATGAGGGGAAACATTTGGGTACATATACACCATGTTTATATAAAATTATATTAATGAGGGAGTTTGTACTTTTATTAAATGTATTTAGTGTGAGTTTGTGAGTTCACAATTAATGTGGGCACCCTAATTAAGAGCCCCACTGCTTTTGTACTGGCCAAGATCAAATATATTTACATAAATGTACCCTGCATATGTCATTCAGCACTGCATTTAGATAGGTATTTCACTTTTCTAAACAAAACATTAACATACCAGCTTAAATCTCTGAAGCGGGATATTACTGAGATCGACAGGACTGCGCTCTGCAATGTTCACGAAGCGAGCCTCCAGCACTGCTACGGCACATAATACATGAACCCACCTGCAACAAAACACATTTTCAACCTAAGCAGGTTTCATCAATTGCCTGAGGTAAAACCCCAAACATGACGTGTTGTCAGCAGCTGAGAGAGGCAGCTCACAAAACTGTCATTCAGCTGAGAGGAATGTGTGTAACTGAAAATGGCTGCTGTTGACCATAAGGGGCTCCACCCAGAGGCTCCTGGCTACCTACTTGTCATTGTTGGCCTTCTGCAGAGCTCCTCCTCTCAGAGAGCATAAACAGCAGTCCTGAGGGAAAGACACAAACACTTAGTCAAACCACTGGGATTAATAAACAGATGAGTGAAAGCAGGTGCAACTGGAAAAACCTTGTCATGCATGACAGCCAGATATAATAGTGCCCCCTAGCAGCTAGAAAAATGCATAGCAGAGGTTTTGGGATAAAAAAACAACAACAACAACTGTAAACCTACTCAAATGATCTAACTGACAGGGGCATGTCTACATGGTGGCCAGGGGTGGCAACGGCCCCCCCTGAAATTTGGCTGGCCACCCCAGGTGCCCCCCCTACCAGATGTCTTGCGATAGGCTTGTTTTTAGTAAATTTCTAACTGCATCTGGCAGTGGCGGATCCTGGCATGTGTAGGCACGCGATCCATGTGCGCGAGGACGAATCTCTCCACTCCCAAGCGGATTTCCTTCACTCACACAAAACTGGACGTGTGGTTTTAAATATTGTTCTTTTATGAATTGGCTCTGCTGTCACTGTCTCTGTCACTCTTTGTTTAGTGAGTGTACACGATGTATTATAACATATATCGTTCCGCAAACACAACCCCCCTCCGGCCACCCTCTTTTGAGCCAGTGCCCCCGACTGGCCCCGCCATTTAAAATGCTCTAGACACGCCCCTGCTAACTGACCTGAGTAATGGCGTTAGCTTCACAGCGGGAACATCTCCACTCGTCCAGATTAGCATCCTGAGAAACACCGTAACAACCTGTAGACAAAACATCAACAATTCATCCAATTACCCAATTACATTTTCAAAAACATATGGATAGCAGACAAATTACATAAATGTGAACATTTATTTTGCAATATAAAACCTAGGTTATCATTTATACCAATCAATAAGGGAAGTGAATATTTTTATGTTGTTTAAAGTTTAAATATGATGTAAGACAAATGGTTATGAAGACCATGTTTTGTTTTCAAATAATAAATGAAAAAATAAAATAAAATTGCAAACAACCAAGGAATGTGCATTGAGAAAAAAAATGCATTCAGTCATGATTTTTTGCTAACGTTAGGGCTGGTTTGAATGATATATCAATATATTTTTCATAAGCGATATGGTATGAGGCAATACCACCTATATCAATATACAGTAGTTTGATACGAGCGCATCTGAATAATAGCAGAGGACACAGAGTGAGCTGCTGCGGGGAAAGTGCATAATCCAGTTTGTCCTAAACATGATACATGCTTTATATTAAGGGCTTTAAAATAACTTGTAAGATATAGTTAACACATATAGTTTAAAGTGGCTCGCCCCGTCAGATGCTCTGACAGACATGTGCTGCTGACAGAGACACTACTTGCGCTGTTTAACGCGTTTGAGATGTGTTGTTTTCCTCAGTGCATAACTTACATTTCGCAGGTATATTCTCCATCTGTAAATGTTAGAAAGTCATGGAAATATTTCCATTTTGCTGTCAGGAGTGCACGAGCCTACTGCAAGGGATTCGCCGCTAAACTTCACAGACTTCAGTGAACGAGTGCCGCCGCACACATATGCGCCAAACAGATGGAGCGCAATAGAATATGAGCACAATAATTCTGACTAAAATATACATTTTACTAAACTATTTGTAGTTGGACAATAAATGTGCCATGTGTAGAATTTTAAACCCAAAAGTAGGCTAAGAGTATTTTATGATAGCAGTAACTGTAAAGTGACTATTGTAATGGGGTAATCAGAATATAATGCAATTAATCTGTGCTTTTGTTTTATATATATTCACTTGTAGTTTAGTATATTTAACTTCTGCTTTAAATAGCATTGTTTTCGTTTTTAGATTGTAATGTTACAATGTTAAAATGTAATGTGATTTTAGCCCCTTTTTTGCACAATATATAGCATAGCCTACATGGTTACTTTCACTATGTTTGTTTTAATTGCCTTTAAACATTGTTTCATTGGACAGGATGTAAAAAAAAAAAAAAAAAAAAAAAAAA